AAAAGAATATCTTGATTTTTTTTGGAGAGCCCTCCCATCTCAATGCTCTCGTCCAAGAGACATTTGTTTGTAGACTAGGTCTGAAACCTTCGCCCAAATCCAAAAATTCGTCCTTCACTGCACGTGCTATTTGCTTTAATAACATTTTGCAAGTACTGGCTGACAAAATCCGAAGAGAACCAAGTTAAAAGTACGAAAAACAAAGTGCAGTTAGAGACTCATGGCAGAAAACTCGCCCTTTCACTTCCTCATCCTGAATGCACCATCATTAGAGGGACTGGGTGTCACCAAAGATAGTAGTGGTGTGACAAATGATTGCGAGTACTAGGATCGTACTTGTAACAACAACGCCTGACCCTCATCACTCACATCGGGCTGTACTCTGTGGTGCAAATGGTTAGTTGAACTTACTCTGCATCAAAGGGGTTCTCTCTGGGCTCATTTCATGACTACTAGAGGCAAAATGGTAAGAATAAAGGCAACAAACAGATAAACCTCTCAAGGCAAATCCGATAAATCCGATCCCGCCGTTCCCCCCCCCCCTTCCTCTTACTCCAGCGACCCTGTACAACCTTTGCGGAAACCCCAACAAAGGACGTATCCTGATCGTCATGTGCTTAACTTGTTATTGAGAAGTTTTTCACTTGATGATGGCTGCAGGTAACACTCACCAGTAAGTTGGGTGAAAAAATAGAAGTATACATATGGAAGTAATAAAATACCTGCATGCATATAAATGACCACCACTGCTTAAGGGAAGTACGCACGATAAGTCCCAAAGACGAGAAAGATTAGTACGCCTGGCAGGACAAAATTTAGCGGCAGACGCTGAGTAGCCTTTTTCAGGGAAGGTACACTCATAAGGTCCTATCAGTACACTCATAAGGCCCTATCAAACTACAATATACGGACCCGAACGCCCACCGCACCCTCCCGCCCACAAATTGGCGAGTGTAGCAAATGCTCACATTGTTTCATTCGCGATGTAAAATATGGAGCAAAGGGATTGATATGAAGCGGCTACAGTGCTGCATGGATATATGAGTACATACATGCAGCCGTACTACGTAGCGGTTATTGGCACGATGCCAACGAGAAACTCGAAGGCTTTCTGACCGTTTCGCTTCGCTTTTTCGCAATTTTCCCGCGATATATAGCGCTCTGGCTAGCAAGTAGCAAATATGTCGTGCCATATGGCCTAGGAAGGACGAAGTTAAAGTAAGTGAAGGGACTTGATTCTTCCCACTAGGGGAGTCACAGTCACGAGCAAGGCTGCGTTTATACTTTGCGGCAGCGTAGCGTAGCGCTCCCAGCGTACGCCAGCCGGCAGTCGCTGTGAGAGGAATATCAGTATCGATCTACTGGCGTTCCCAGCGTCACCAGCGTCACGCTAGCGTACGCTAGCGTTACGCCAGCGTTTCTCCAGCGTTTCACCAGCGTTTTGCTAGCGTTTGCAGCGGCAGGGAGTAGAGACTATGTGGCCGTCAGAGACGCGGAATCGATGTGTATTGTAGAGACTGAGGGCGAGTGAGAGACGCGCAATCGATGTGTTTTGTACCCTCCAGCTCTCCCATAGTCTCTACTCCCCTGCCGCTGCAAACGCTAGCAAAACGCTGGTGAAACGCTGGAGAAACGCTGGCGTACGCTAGCGTGACGCTGGTGACGCTGGGAACGCTAGATCGATATGCATCCTCTCCCCGGCACTGCCGCTGGCGTACGCTGGAAGCGCTACGCTACGCTGCCGCAAAGTATAAACGCAGCCTAAGAGTGCAGCCTTGTTCGCTGCTAATGATGGGGCGCGTCCAGGGAGGGATGCCTTTGGCGCAGAGCCATCCATGTTTTTTTTTATTTTTGCTCTTTCGGCGAGCGATAAGACTGTATCATATCGTTCATATCAGTCGTTTTCCACCAGTTGTTGTCGCTTACCCGCTTCAACAACTGGTGGAGAACGGGCTGGCGGTGCGCCAAATCCAGGCTCACTGACAACCCCTTCATCTGCAGAGGGCAAGACTTTAGCTACCCTGTAATAGGGGGAGGGGGGAGAGGGGTTGTATCTGCTGATGTCAGGATGAATATGGTAGTAATAATACACTAATAATAATAAGATTAAAATCAACAAAAAAATCACAATAACAACAAAGAATAGAGCCAGAAGAGGAGGTATTTGTACAAACCCCAGTCATGAGGGTCGTATAGAGGGCCAAATTTTTATTGACACCTGTTCCGCCCTGGTGGCTATGAGTATTGTGCCAGTGAATCAATTAAACTTGAGGAAAAAAGTAGGAAGTTTTCCTTTTTGTTGATCTCTTTGATTCACGACTGTCTTGGTACAATGGTGTACTAATAAAAACTTCACATTACTCATTCGCCATTATAAAATCCCAATGTCATAAAGTCATTCTTCTCGTTTACTCGAGCGCTCATAATGCGCCGCCGCGGAGTTCGCTGTGATTGTTGAACGTCTTTGCTTCCTCATGTCCAAGGTTCCCTCTGTCGTGTCCTCCTTGATGGCGTTCCTCCAACTCTTCCTTGCAGCTCGCAGTGGCTGCTTACCCTGTAGAGTAAGCCTGTGACCTTCCCAGCACATTCCCGGATTATGGGGATCCCTCCCTCGTCCAGTACTGGAGCCATGTGCATGACTTTTCCCCTTTCTGACTCTCGTCATGCTCAGTCGTAGGCTCATTTTTGTCCACATTTCAGCGAACCGAAGCTCGCACCCGTGGTTTTTGCCTGGGGTCCAGCATTAGGTGCTGAACAGCATCGTATATCTGACCACTGTAAGAAGCACCGTGCTTCTGAAACTACCGGAGCACCATCGATCGGGATGGTGCAGGTAGACTCATCCACTATTCCTGTCCGCCCGCGAGGAGGAAAAAGAGCAGGATAAGGGCTGATCCTTGGTCCCAACGCCCCCTCCCTCCTAGTTGTTGGCGCCGCCGAAGTTCTATAGTTACTGTTTCTGACAGTGAAACTATAGTGGCTTGCCTCACGAGACCTCCCTCCCTCCTCCTCCGCTCGACAGCAGAATTTTGAAAAAAAAAAACTAGAGAAATTTCGGGAAATTCCGGAAAAAACTGGAAAGTGGGAGAGTTGGGAAAGTATAGGAAAGTAGTGGGTAGCGGGGGGGAGGGAGATCGATATGACAGGAGGAATTTGGGGGAGGTCGTATTTCCGAAAAAACTTTCTCTAGCGGCGGGGACGTGGCGCAGCGGTGTGCGAACAGCACTAGCTGGGGCGCGCTGTATTGATGAATAGTGCTTGAAGCAGGGCCATGAGGAGTCCCTCAGGAAAAAAAAAGGACAAGGCAGGGCGCTATTGGAGCCATCTACAGGATTGATGCTGTGCTTGCGTAGCCAACGGACGATGTGGGTGCACTGTGCCAGCCCATCCTGAATATGACAAGTGAAGGTTCAAAGTATGAACGGTGTATTGAAAGCCTCACAAACACCCCCTCCCCTTCTACGGTGCGTTCCGTCCAATACCGACTACTGCTTTCACGTATGCACCCATTCCAAACGTGGGTGCTTTTGCTTCTTCACAGAAAGGAGCCTTGCGGATCCGAGAGCAGCGATGGCGGCGAAAAAGGCGTTGCGGGGTCGCCTGCGCGACATTCGCACCAGCACCCAGCTTCAACTTGGCAATGCTACAGCGTGCCGAGCCAGTTAGCCACGTAATACACCACTGATTAGGGCGCGACTAGCAACTTCGGATGTCCTTAACACAATTCTAACTGCCCTTCATTGAATCGCAGTAAACCATAACGGAATCAGCGCATCCCCCATGCGCGCCACATGTCCATAATAGGTCTATCGGTCGATCTCTATCCGCCGCTATGACCACGGTTGACTTTCCTATGCATACTTACTTCATTATCAATTTCTGGGGAAGTAAGTAGCAGCACGTCTTTTCAGGTGTGGATTATTCGGAACCCGGAAGGACAGTC